TCGGTTACCCTAAGGCCCATGCGGATCGCTGCCGTTTCCAGATGGAAGCATGACTAGGTCACCCTGGACTGTAAATACACAGACCTGTACACACCAATAGAGAAAATAATGCATCATTTGCATCAATGATCAGCTCTTCATTTTCACGGTAGTTCCACCACCCACCTCTCCCACCCCCAAAAGGCTCTAAAATATAGCATTTGCTGCCTTACCCAGTTACATAAAGATGTCTGCACATTAACTCATTGATAGCTGTCCTACACCCATCTGTGGGATTCCCCCCTTCAGTTTGTAAATTCTCTACTTTGTACCTTTTCATGAAAAGCAGTCTAAATCCTCCCGATCAGTTAATTTCCTTTTTATTTGTTTTAAAAAAAATAAAAACAATTGCCTTTGTTTCCAAACACAAGGTACCAAATAAACAATGCAATAAACTTTTGAAAAAAAAATGTACGTGGCTATTCTGACGTGTTCTGCCCATTTCCATCGTAAGGGTCTGATGAGCTTGTGTGCTACTCGCTGTACACGGTTTTGCTTACAAATTCCGCATTAATCTACTGCCGGCAGCAATACGGTCGGGCTGTTCCTGCTCTTGAGCTGGGCGTGTACATGTTCATGTTGCTCTGACATGCGGACCAGCCCATCCCCCCGGTGTAGATCATTATGGTTTGTTGGTGTTTCCCCATAGGTAGGCTGTCAAAGTTTGTGCGGTTTTATGTGAGCAGATCCTACTCAAGCCAAGCAGCATCGCACATGAATCTCCAGGACGGTGGAGATGAGGAATGACTCAGGACCTGTATGTCTGATTGTGTGGATGTTCCCTTTTGCCAGAGGAAATTCTGCAGCTGTAGAGGAACACAAATTATTAAGACCACATGACCTCCCCGTTTTACCTGAACGTGGAAACAAATTCCACAATCTTAATAAATGGCGTTTCTGGCACTTAATATTTTTGACAACCACTGCTTTCCATGGATGTCCACTAGGTGGCACCGCTGGGCCTAAAAAAATCAAGAGCTTTGGAGATAACAGAAAATACTTTCGCGTGTGGATTTTGTTGTGGGACTCCGTAATCTGCTTTCACCACTACAAGCTTACACTGTCAGAAGAAAAGGGTACGGCCCTGGTTTTGTTCTCTAAGGTACAATTACCATTAATGTACCCCGATGGTACAGAGATGTTTCTGAGAGTCCATTGAGGGAACAGGCCCAGTGACAAGTAACTGCCTTCAAATGTACAAATTGGTGCTTTTTTTCCTGAGTCTGGTACACTGGAAAAATTTATTTCCAGTTTATTTTTGTTGTATTTAGTAAGAATCGCCCACTGAAGAAAATGCAATGAGCCCCAAGGTAAGGTTACTGCTGACAAATCTGAGATATAAAGGTCACGTAAGAGCATGCTTTAATGCTTTTGCTGGTCAGAATCCTGGTTTACAGCTTGTGTTTCAGGCGGTCCGTCGTCTCCAGCTGTGGACGCGTGTTCTGAGAGCTAAGGAACGTGTGGTCCAGGTTAAGGTAAGTGGTGAGAAACTCGGGAAACTGGCTCTTCTGAACCACCTCCAGGAACATGTGTACAGCAGTGAGTAACGTTTCCGTGCCTCTGCAGGGGGAGAAGCCACAACCGTAGAACCTAAACACCATTTTGTTTTTTGTTTTTTACTAGAGTAACATTTCACCAGAATGATGGCAGTTTATTCTGGAATGTTTCTTGTGGTCAGCTAATTCATTTTCAAACATTCTCTTAGCTATGATTTAATCGACATTTGTTTAAAATAACCTGCTCTAACCTATATATATATATATATATATATATATATATATATATATATATATATATATATATATATATATATATATATATAAAATGACATGAGATGATCATTAGTCTGATATCCTCATCCTGAGTCATCCCCAGCCAGATGGGTCTACCTGACATCACGTCTTGGGTGGACCTTCAGTTCCCCAAGCACCTCTTGGGCCAGGCTCTTCACCAAAGCCCTGGTCACCACCCTCTCGTCATCCTCCAGTCTGGCCCGGTGCCTGATCCACTGCCACACCTGAAACAGCAACAGCGAGATGAGCTTGGCGGCCTTACAGTGAGAGTGACGGGGCCCACAGCCACACCCAAGGCTACCGGCCGGTTAGTATCCAGATCCCTGGAGGTGTCACTAAACCCAGCCAGTGAATGACAGGGTTCAAGAGGACAAGGCAGTGCAACCATAATGTGCTTCTTCCTCATTTCCTCATCTATCGGTTAGTTACGTAAGTGAGATGCAAGGAGGACTTTCTGCTCTTGATAGCAAGACCATGGATTACTTTTCACATTTGGTACCACTTGGTTTAATGGGGCGTCACTAGGCTGGGACATTCAGGACTCGCTCCAAAGGAATCCAAACAAGTCCCGCAAGAACTGTTTAGCTCAGATGTTTTAACAGCCATGCTCTGTTTGGTAACCAGGTCTAAGCCCCAGATGTCTTAAGATCCTAGCAACACTCCTGCTGTTTAATTCTGTTCTTTTTCTTGCCTGGGATCTAGAGATTTCCGCAGTGGCTGAATCTTCCACTTGACCCTGGTAGAAGAAATGCCCTCGGCCTACGAAGGGAAACGACGAAATGTTGAAGAGGGAAACCTGCATCCATCATTCAGTACATTTTCGGTGCAAATAGGTCCTTGATTTAAAGCTATTACTTAGACAATGTGTCTGCAAGTCAAGATGATCTATTAAAATTGTTTTGTAGTTTTCTAATATCTATCCTTCAACCCTAAATTACCCAGAAAAGGGTCACAATTAGCTTGCAACAGGAATCATGAGCCAACATGTAGGGAAGTGTTTCTCAATCCGGTCCTTGGGGACCGACAGCCAGTCCACGTTTTTGCTCCCACCCAGCTTCCAGGCTGGGAAGGAGCAAAAACATGGACCGGCTGTGGGTCCCTGAGGACTGGATTGGGAAACACCCGGAATAGGACTGCTAGTTCGACGGCAATTCTGAGACAGCAATTCACCTAATGGTATGTGTGGGAGGAAACGAAAATGCCCAGAGGAAGCGCTACTGTGCCACTCACTGCCACCACAAAGCCCAAACGCGTGCTCAAGGTACAACGGCAATGATTCGTGTTGAACTGGAACCGACAACCTTCTCATCATGGCCAATGCATCAACTGCAACATTTCCCAACACTCTTACCTGTTAGCCAAGCCTCAATAAACAGGATTCCTACAGAAATGTTGTATTTCAGTCCGTAGAGGGTAACCCCACCCTAGAAGAAGCAATGATTTCCATCAGTGAATGACTTTTTGATACTAAGAATTTATACAGTGCATGACTAACATACCTACATGGACAGTGGTAGAAGGATAGAAATTTTTAGGATTTAGGATTTACCTTGGTGTAGTTTGTGCCTTTAAGTGTTACTTGAATCTTCCATTGCTGCATGAGTTGCCATAACAAGTCAGTGCCTGACTTAATGCTCAAGCAAAATGGCTCCGACCTACCGCCGGCATGGTGACTAGATCAGCAGGGGTCACTGAGAGGTCATCCCGGATCTCCAGTAACTGATTCTCCCCGCTGGTGTGCATCTGGAACAGCTGGGGAGATGGATGCTGCTAATCACAACCCCAGCTAACGGCAGCACTACGCCAACTGGAGGGCGATAGCGGTACTGCACCTACTCTTTGCATTGGTTCAATCAAATCCAGGTCATAGACCATAAAACCATCCACTCCAGCTCGGATTTCCAGTAACTTTAATCTACAAAAGGAAGGAAGATGCCGGTAATAAGCAAAGCATTGTATGTCAACATGCTATGTAATTATCCATTTATCTTCTGTAACCGCTCGTCCTATTCAGGGTCGCAGGGGGCCTGGAGCCCATCCCGGGGGCCCGGAGCCCATCCCGGGGGCTACGGGCACAAGGCAGGGTCACAACCCAGGATGGGGCGCCAACCCATCACAAGGCACACTCACACACCAGTCACTCACACACGCACACCTACGGAGAATTTATTAGCTCTGGTTAGCCTCAGCATGTTTCTGGACTGTGGGGGGGGAGGGGACCAGAGTCCTCGGAGGAAACCCTACAAAGACACGGGAATAACATGCAAACTCCGCATATGTGGGGTCATGGCAGAGACTTGAACCCGGTCCCTGGGGTGTGAGGTGACAGTGCGCCACCAGCAGTGTTGGGCAAGTTACTTCAAAACTGTAATGTATTATTTATTACTTGTTACTGTAATTTCAAAGTAATTCGTTACATTACAATATTACTGTATTTAAAATGTAACGCATTACACTACTATTGCATTACTTTTAAGTTTTTCTCACCAAAATAACTGGAAATATGGATTTGGAAATCTGTGCTCACCTTGCTCATGACGCTCAATTAGCTCATTACACAGCGAGTGGAAGGTGATGTGATACAGTATCTAACTGAGCTATAGGCCTATGGTTAAAAACAGTAGAATATAATAGCCACAGCGATGGCTCATGGCGCAATACAAGGAACAATCATCGCAACAACAGACAAAAGGTCAAAGTCTGGCAAATTGTGATAGAAATACTGTAACTTTAGGCCTAGTCATAGTAACATTAATTGAACTGTATTGTAAAGTCTAAAGATATGACAGGATACAAAATGAGCATTTCTATGCCTTTACAGTCGTCCCTCGCGCTTCGACTTTCACAACCAGCTTCACTCTATCGCGGTTTTTTGTCTATTGATTAAAAAGTTGATCGAGACAATGAAAATGATACATCGCTACGTATCGAAGCATCT